ATTCTGAAGCATACATTCTATTGTGTTTCCAGTGAGGCCACTGAAGCCGCTGCATCATTACGGAAAAGGTGAGGGCCAGATTCTGATCTCAGTTACTGTCATTTCCTTAGGCACAGCAATTCTACCGAAGTCAAAATATGGATCAGATCCTGGTCTCTGCTACGGAAACATACCAGGTTTCTGCATTTATGCCAACTTAACAGCCCTAATATGGCTCTCTCTTGGGAGTGGAGAGAGTTTGATATGAGTACCAGTCAAGAAGCTCACTCCAAGGGTAAAAAAGGGGTTGCTAAAATACTGAGAATCAGCTCTGGAAGAAAGAACAGCTTTCCCGGAGATGATTAGCTAACAAAGCAAGCAAAGTCCACAATGAGCTAATTTCTGCTGCCACTTTTCTCCACAGAGGCGTGTTAACCATTAACTATTCTGTTCTCAGCCAGCTGGTTGCCTGTTTCTGCTGCGTAGGTTAGAAGCAGAGCTAGCTTAGAAATAAACAGGATGCAGAAGAGGGAGGGCAGAACTGTGAGGAAATTGTGAGAAATATGCCACCTCCTGTGCATTAGAGGTAGAGACATCCCCCCAGATACACAGTCCTGTAACAGGCGAGAAATGAAGGTAGGAGGAGGAAGCAGTTGTATGATCTCAGGCAACTCACAAGCCTGAAGGAGAAAGGAAGAGAAGAAGCGAAGTGTCACCTGTGGTTAGGTCTGTGCTTTGATCTCCCTCACCAACACCATGAGGCTGTGAGAGAAGGAGAGAGACTGCTGAAGAGAAAGGCAACAGGGATACAGTGGCATGTGTCCTGGAGCTCTGCAACTGATAGATTTACATGCAGCTTCTAGGTTTACTTTCAATCCTCTGCAAAGGGCGGGGTGGAGTGGAGTGGGGTGGGGAGAGACAAGAGGAAAAAACCCACATCTGCTGCACTAGAAGAAACCAATGCAGTAAAGAAAACAGGATTCAAATTTGCATAGAAGACACAGGTTAAAATCTCTGCTTAGTCCCTTTGCAGTACCTTGTTCTCCAGTATGATGATGTTACACATTTTATGATGTTATTAAGACAACAAATCAGACCATAGTGCACTTAGAAGTACCACACATAACACCAACAATAGAAGCATTTATTGGATTATTTGGCTCAAGTTTGTTTCAAAAGATCAAGGCTGCAACTGAGCACAGGGTGAGCCAGACACAAAATCAGGACCAGATCATCCAATTCCATCCCCACCACAGCTGCCTGCTCCCTAATCGAAAACAGAACTCTATCCCTGGCTGCCTGGTCCTCTGCAAAATTAGGCAGAGGGGAGGGAAAAGAAGCAGAACAAACCTAACTACTCCAGAAGAAATGAATTTCTAGTGAACAGTTAGAAATATGGAAGGAAATAAATGACGACGTTCTAATCATAGCAAACAGAGTGTTTTAGGGTGGTTTCCTGTGCAGGCCCCAAATAGTCACAGACCCATTTAGCTGGAGCATAGTTCCTGTAGCATGGTGTCTGCTGTGGAAACGATTTCCACAATTCACAGCAGAAAGTGCTGGGAAGCTAGAATCTGCTCTCTCCAAAGACAATGCAAATACAGGCTTGGTACATGCAACACAAAGCAGCCATGGTGAATTGTCGCCATCTGACCCCAGCACATTTTCTGCAGGACAGCTTATTTTTCATGGCCAATCCACCTTGAGAACCCATGGCTTATTTTAGGGTTTCTGTTGTCTGCAATGGTTTGTGTGTCTTCAGAACCTGACAGGGTGATTTTATCGTGGGTTGCCAGGAACAGCTACAGAGCCAATTGGCAAGAATGGCAAAGCCATTGCTGAACGCTTTCCTGGTTACACGAGTGACTGTCCTACAATGCTGAAGTGGCACTTTGGAAGGACCGACTGGGGTTCCAATGTTTGCTTAATTTTACTGTTGGTTTTTCACAGGTGTACAGCTCTCTGACATGCCTAGGCTAGCCTGGTTAATCGCCTTGTCTGTTGCAGTGGTCAGAGGAAGGACAAGGCTGCATACAGGCCAATGTGCATGCATATGACAGGGCCCAAAAGTCCAGCTCCAACCTGAAAAACAACTGGAAAAACACAGCAACCAATTATAAACCAAAATGAGAGTAGAGATATCTTTCCAACAGCAATGTTGAATTGACACTTTTTAGTGCCATCTTTTCAACACTCTCACATTTCTCCAGCTACCCCAGAAAGGAGAGATGCAACCCCTCCCCCTTTTCTTGGCTATTTTTTTGGAGCATTCACTGATGGGTCCCTGGCAGTTTTAAAAAGCTTCAGGAATATACACAAATGTAATGCCCGGGGGGTAAATGGAGGGGAAATTTGTGCACCTATAACAACAGCATAGTTAATGCAAGTTCATGAATTTCCCCTCCATTTACTTCCCAGGTATCACATTTATGCAAAGTTCTCCCCAATTCACTTTGTATCCATTAAATTTATGTATGTTTCTGCTTTTTTAAGCTGACAGGGAACCTCAGTTCCACAGCACTAAGTGCTTCGTAAAGATCAAGCTGCATAGTATCTTCCCTTTCTGGCGCAGGTAGTTAGTTGGAAAAGTGCTAAAAAGATGGACAGTGAGAATGTAATTTCCAAACTAAAAAACCTGAGGGGATTATATTGCTAAGGGGGAGATATACCCAGACAAAAACCTTTTGATGCACTTTCTGTTGCTTTCCCTCCTGCTCTTACTGGTGCTTTTTGATACTAGGCACTTAAGCCCTGGCAAATTAGTCTGTATGCAAGTCCTATCTTTAATAACTGAAACGGACAAAGCAATTGATCAGGCAAGACTATACATACAGGACAGTCATAGTCTAGCAAATACAGCAGAATGAGAAGGGCTGGAAATTTCACCAGTCATGTAACAAATAACTGTTTTTGAGCCTGAAGATGTATTCTGTTATCCTTGTGCAGTGCTAGTTCTTAAGATTTTGGGAAGAGAAACTGGCAAGCAACAGACTGAGAGCTCAGTTTGGCCCACTGTGGCTTTCCAGAAGGCTTCCAATATAGATGCCCCCCCAAATTAAGCAACTCAGTCATTTTCTTCCCTGAGACACTCAAAGTATTTTCCCGCTGCTCTCCCTTTTCCCAAGGTCTGCCTGTACGAACAGCAAGAGAGGCTTTGGCAGCTTTCTCATCCACCTCATTTACTCCCGTTTCTTTATGTTTTGGCTCATGTAGGGGAATGTGCAGCTGTGATACAATGTAAGGGAAAAACTCTTCCAAAGTCTACACTGCACATTGAAGAGAGTATTAAAGAGCCATTGGCCATACATTGTCTTGTAGTAATCTGGCAGATAGAGCCAAAACAGCTTTTCCTTCAACCCTTGCTTCAGTCCAAAATGTTAGGACGCTAAACGAGGCTTTAGTATTTTTCAAGTACTCTCCCCTGCAGTTCATTAGGCAAGATTCCTTTATTCTGTCCACAGTTTTAGAGGACAAGGATTTCTGATTGGCAAAGAGAAGACACTGGTAATGGGGAACGAGCATCAAGACATAAAAGGTGGCTCCACATTCAGATCAGCACCCAAGTTTAAAACTTACAAATCAGAGTGCCTGTGCACTGTAAATACAGAAGTTGTTACTGGCATTGTAAACTCCAGTGTGACAATGTACTAGGATAAAGTTGATCCCAGGTTTACCTCTCCGTTTCACTTGGCCAAATACAAATCAAGCCTTCAAGAGAACAGTCTTCTGGACAGGATGAATGCTACTACCTGGAGACCAATGTGCAGCTTGCACAGAGTTAGGCAGGCAGCAGTGAAGTCAACCTTGTTCACAGGTGTACAAAAACATGCCTTCCCTTGAGACTCCAGGATCAGGATGTTCTTGCCCAGCTGCTTTCCTCCCAAAGCCAAACTCCCTTCCCCTGACTGTCAGCAGCCAGAACTAGGAGGATTATAAAATCTATTTTGTATTTAAAGTGGAAAATGAAGGCTGGAAACACTCCTGTCTAAACAGGATTGCATAGGGAAGAATGGAGAGAAAATAAGTAAGTCTAGAGGGAGTATTTCTAATGTTTTGCAAAGTGGTTTGGTTTGCTCACTGAGTGGAATGAAATGATACAGCGCTTTCTCATCAAGAAGAAATAGGCCTAAGGTGGAAAGAAGACAATGGTTTCATATCTTGTGCAATCAGGGCTAAGAAATGCTGCCATGGAAAGAGAAAGAAAGCTATGTGGGCAGTGATACCTTGATGGAAGACCCAAGGAAGGAAACTTTGGTTTTTAAACCTACCTGCACAGTTTTGAAACTTTTAAGTATGGCACGAAAACTGGGTTAAGTGGAAAATATGCAAATATGATTCTCAAACAGTTAAAGCTTGTGACAGGTGCTGGACATGGTGACCGTTATATGGAATATACATAGCCCTTAAGCATATTTTGTCTTTTAAAGAAAGTGCCAAGTCCTACCAAGCTTAAGGTTGAAAAGGGTGGGATGAGAAATTTGAAGGCCACAAGAAATTAAGCCTCTTTCCCTCTTCCACACTATCTGCCAATAAAGCCCTTCTGTTGTTCATATAGGGCAAAAGGGGCATTCTATGGAAAAGAATGAACTGATACAGGACTGACATAAAACATGACAACATTTAAAAAGGAGAATATTTGTCTTCCAGAATACTTTGGCTAACCTGATGAATGTTCATCCTTCAGAAAAAAAAACCCTTCCAAGGGAATCAGAATTTATTTATTAATTTGTTTAAAAATGGATGATTCTCTCCCTCAGTGCAGATGTTATACTAGCAAAATACTGTTATTATGAAGAGTCACTGATCTGAGCCTTACATAGAAATTTAACATACTGTAACTCTTGCATTTCATGGACCTTTCACACATTTATTATTTTCTTCTTCATACCCATTCACACACCAGCAAACTGAGAAAATGTTTCATGCATTGATAAAGAGTGTTCTAGCCCATTAAAGCTTATGTCACGATAAAACGTCTAATCTTTAAGATTTCATAAGATTCTTTATTGTGTCTCTTGTAGGTATTGCTGATTTTAACGCAGCACAAGATGACAACTCAAGATTGGGAAAGCAGAGAGGGAATAAAGAATGCAGGCTCTCTCAAGACATGGATGGATTTTTAAAAGTGGTGGCTACTTAGTTCCAGTACATGCAGCACCTCTGAGAACAAGGACTTAGCTTTTAATTATGAAGGGGACTTGTAGCGAGTCAAATCATTGGCACTTCTAGATCAATACTATCTGCACTCACTAAGAGTTTGTTAGGAGTTAAACAGGAATCTTTCCCAGCCTAATTTGGAAATGTTAGAATTTGACTCTGGGTTCTTTTGTATGCAAAGGATGTGGTCTTCTACTCAGCTAAAGTTCCAGGAAGATCTGCAACTATCACTAACACTTTTGTAAACTTAATTATTGGTTTCTGTAATGTGTTTTGTAAGACTGCCTTTGAACATTCTTTAGAAGCTTTTGCTATTGCAAAAGTTTGCCCTTACAGATGGCTGCTGACAGCTTATCAGTCCAGTATTATCTGGGCCCAGTTTAAGGTGGCAGGCATCTTAAAAACCCCTTATGTGTAGCTGAAGGAGTGGATTATATTATCATAGAATCACAGAATCATAGAATAGTACAATTGGAAGGGGCCAGAAGCCCTTTGGGTTCAACCCCCTGCTATGGCAGGACACTAACTTACACCATTCCATTCAGATGATTGTCCAAATGCTTTCTGAGTATCTCTAGTAAGGGAGAACCCACAACTTCCCCAGGTACTAGGTTGCATTGTCATACTGCTCTGACAGTGAGGAAGTTTTTCCTGGTGTCTAGTCTAAATCTGGACTCTTTTAATGTAAATCCATTATTCCATGTTCTGCACTCCGGGAATGGATGAGAAGAAATCTAGTCCTTCTTCTTTGTGACAGCCTTTCAAGTACCCGTAGGGTACTATATCAATCCTCAGTCTTCTCTTCTTGAAGGTGAATATGTCTACTTCTCTCAACTTTTCCTCACAGGGCTTTGCTTCCAGTCCCCGAATCATCCTTTCTGCATTTTAAAAAAACTTAGGTGCCCAGAATTGGACACAGTACTCTAGATGAAGTTTGACTAGTGCTGAGTAGAGGGCAACTAGGACTTCATGCTTCTGTTAGTGCAGTCCAAAATAGCATTTCCCCTTTTTGCAGCTGCATCACGTTGTTGGCTCATATTTAGCTTGTGATCTACAACCCCACGATTCTTCTCAGTTGCAGTAGTGTTGTGTCAAATATTCCCCATCTTGTAGCAGTGTATTTGGTTTTTTGTTCCTAAGTGGAGGACTTGTCACCTATGCCCAGTTTGGGAATGTGCCATTGATGAGCACTCTTTGAGCCCGATTTTGCAGCCAATAGTGGATCCACCTTATAGTTGCATGATCTAGCTCACATTTTGCCAGTCTGGTAATCAGGATGTCACGGAGCACTTTGTCAAAGTCTGCTAAAGTCTAGATAATGTACACAGCATTCCCACTGTCCATTTGGGAGGTTACCACATCAAAAAACGAAATTAGATCAGTCTGACAGAATTTGTTCTTGAGAAATCCATGTTGGCTTCTAGTAATTACTGCATTGTCTTTGAGGTGTTTGCAGACTGTTTTATAATTTGCTCTAGAATTTTTCCAGGGCTGATGTCAGACTAACTGGTCTATAGTTCCCAGGTTCATCTTTTGGGGCAACATTAGCCCTTCTCCAGTTCTCTGGCATGTCTCCTGTCTTCCTTAAATTTTCAGAGACAATACCTTATTTATTTATTTATTTTTTAAAAACATTTCTATGCCTCCCCATCGCAATAAGCCTTGGGGCGGCTCACAACATCAAAAAAAAAAAAAAAATAACCATACATTAAAACCCCAATACAATAAAACCCCAGTGCCATAAAACCTCAGTGCATTCTTGGCTAAAAAAAAAAAAAAACCTAGTTAAATAAATAAATTGACAATTAAAATAAGTTTTAAATAAAAAGGTCTTAGCCTGGCACTGAAAAACAAATAATGATGGCGCCAGGCAGACCTCTCTGGGGAGCGCATTCCATAAATGGAGCGCATTCCATAAATGGGTCGCCACCGCCGAGAAAGCCCTCCTCTGGGTACTCACCCTCCTGATGTCATTCACAGATGGTTCCCAGAGAAGGGTATCTGCTGCTGACCTCAAGGGGCAGGAGGGCATATATGGGAGCAAGTGTTCCTTTAAGTATCCAGGTCCCAAGCTGTTTAGGGCTTTATAGGTCATAACCAACACCTTGAATCGGGCCCGGACTTCAATCGGAAGCCAGTGGAGCTGATGGAGAACTGGGGTTATATGAGAACAATGCCCAGTCCCCGTCAGCAACCTGGCAGCTCTATTCTGCACCAATTGAAGTATCCGGACCGTCTTCAAAGGTAGCCCCATGTAGAACGTGTTACAGAAATCTAATCGGGAAGTTACCAGCGTGTGTGTCACTGTCACCAGGCAGTCATTCTCTAGGAAGGGACGCAGCTGATGGATCAGCTGAAGCTGAAGGAAGGCGCTCCTCGCCACCGCCGTCACCGGGGCTTCCAGAGACAGCTCCGGGTCGAGGAGCACTCCTAAGCTGCGAACCCTGTCCCTCAGAGGGAATGCAACCCCATTTAGGACAAGGCCCAAGTCCCCCATCCCAAGGTCCGAGCCGCCCACCAACAGGACCTCCGTCTTGTCTGGACTGAGCTTCAGTTTATTGGCCCTCATCCAGCCCATTACCTCAACCAGGCACCAGTTCAGCACAGCCACTGCCTCACCTGGATTGGTAGAAAACGAGAGGTAGAGCTGGATATCATCAGCGTACTGATGATTCCGCAGCCCACACCTCCTGATGACCTCTCCCAGCGGTTTCATGTAGATGTTAAAAAGCAAAGGGGACAAAATGGACCCCTGCGGAACTCCATGGCATAGCTGCCATGGCGCAGAGCCATAGTCCCCCAGCACCACTTTCTGAAATTGGCCATTGAGGTAGGAGCGGAACCACCGCTATGCGGTGCCTGCAACTCCCAATCCCGCCAGCCTATTCAGAAGGATACCATGGTCGATGGTATCGAAAGCCGCTGAGAGGTCCAGGAGCACTAACAGGGACGCACTCCCCCTGACTCTCTCCCTGCACAGGTCATCGTGCAGGGCAACCAAGGCAGATTCAGTGCCATACCCGGGTCTGAAGCCGGACTGAAATGGGTCCAGATAATCAGTTTCATCCAAGAGTGCTTGGAGTTGTCCTGCCACCATCCGCTCTAGTACCTTGCCCAGGAACGGGATGCTGGCCACCGGTCTATAATTGGCGGCCACCTCTGGATCCAGGGATGCCTTCTTTAGGACTGGCCGGACTACCGCCTCCTTTAAAGGGGCAGGAACCTGGCCATCTCTTAAAGAGGCCTTGACCACCTCCAGGATCCAGGTCCCAATCCCATCCTTGGCTTTCTTAAGTAGCCAAGCTGGGCATGGGTCTAGTAAGCAAGTGGTAGGACGTACTTGTCCAAGCACCTTGTCCACATCATCAGGCCACAACAACTGAAATTCATCCATTAATTGTGGACTCAACAGCGTCAATGGCAACTCCCCAGTGAAATCTGATTCAATAGCAGAGTCAAGCTCATGGCGAATCTGAGTGATTTTCTCCCTAAAATGCTTGGCAAAGTCATCAGAGCGGGCCTTCGAGGGTGGCATCAGATCTCTCTTTGGGCCCGGATGTAACAGCCTCTGCACCACCCGAAAGAGCTCTGCTGGACAGCATTGTGAGGAGGCAATGGAAATGGAGAAGAATTTCTTCTTCGCCATCCTCACCGCCACAGCATAGGCCCGATAATGGGCTCTCAAGTGTGTTCAATCAGAATCATCCCGTGATCTCCTCCACCTACGCTCTAGACATCTCCCAACCTGCTTCATCGCCCATAATTCAGATGTATACCAAGGAGATGAACGGGCTCTGCCAGGTGGGAGAGGACGCTTGGGAGCGATCGTGTCTATAGCCCTGGTCATCTCCTCATTCCACAGTTCAACCAGGGCATCAACAGGATCACCAGACCTGTCAACCGGAAAATCCCCCAGAGCTTCCAGGAATCCATCAGGATCCATCTGGCTCCGGGGGAGGACCAATACAATCGGGTCCGCACACTTGCAGAGGGAAAGGCCGCTCTCGAGCTCAATCCTTATGAGGAAATGATCTGACCATGACAAGGGTGTCAAACTTAAATTCCTCACCTTCAGATCACCCTCTTCCTGCCCCGTCGAAAAAACCAGGTCCAGAGTGTGTCCACGTTCATGGGTTGGGCCTATGATGTGTTGAGACAGCCCCATGGCCGTCATGGAGGCCATGAAGTCCTGAGCCGCCCCGGTTAGAACCGTCTCGGCATGGAAGTTGAAGTCCCCCAGGACCAACATCCTGGGAGTCTTCAGCACCAGGTCCGAGACGATCTCCGTCAGCTCAAGTAGGGAGTCTGTTGGGCAGAAGGTACACCAACACGGTACACTTATAATTCCTTTACTCATAAAAATCTACAGGAAAGGCTCTTTCCAAATACCATCTGTCCATCAAACAAAACCCTTCTGTGAAAAATATGGGGCACTCTAAGAGGCATACTTCAACTGTAAAAATGCTCTTCCCTCAGAAAGCTCACCAACACCCAACTCTAGAGAAGAGTTTGCAGCCCAGTTATGCCATATTTTCTAATACTGGTACTTTCCTTCCAAAGAAGGCAAAATGAAATTCTTAAAATTAATGATATACATCAGAGGCAGAAATCTCTTCCTATTATTCTAAGAAAATCTGAGTGATAGTGTCCTTTTACCATCCATTGTCTTGCTTCATAGCCTATCTTTTATCCTCTAAAAGGACTGGTGACAGATACTTTCCCTATATATAAAGGGCATCTGCCCTGCCTCCAGCCTATTTGTATAACAGCAAGAGAGAGGGCTACAGACAGGGTGCAGAAGGTTAAAGAGAGCTGGAAGGACGTTCTGAAGTTTTTCTTTCCACTTTCAAGTAACCATAGCTAGGTATATCACCCAGGGTGAGCAAGTTGTGGTTACTCTTAACTGTGGCTGGCTTCTTGGAAAATAACTTTAAAGAGTGATTTATGGATATGACTTCTTTAAAAGTACACATGATTAACACTAACCACCCTTTGCCAGGGTTGTATGACACAACAAGCTAATCAAAAGCAGTCTCTGAAATCCTCTCCCAAGCTACACAAGTTGAAGGCTAAGCTCTTTCATGCTCCACTAAACCATAGTTTGCATTATATCTTAATGCACCCTATTATATGCTAATAAGGCATGTAAAATATCTGCTATTTGGTAACTCATGCTAAGTTTCTGTTTGAGCTTGCCCTAATACTGAGCTGGCTTTCTGCTATCTTTTAAGGATCTACATCTTTTAACAGAATCAAACTGTGATGTGTGTCTTGTATGGATGGAGAATTTTGTGAGCATCAAGCGGTACAGAAACAGTGTTTCCTGTGCCAGATGACTATGGGCAGTTTGCCTATTTCAGCTGCAAGTAAATTACTACAATCTGCATACTATTTTCTTCAGTCTGAAAGCTACCAAATTAATGTTCAGTTAATGCTAAGTCGGGAATTGATTACTTTTATCAGTCTGTGTAAGAGTTGTTCAAGTGTTTTATGTTTTTCACAAATGAGGTAACTATTTTAAAACAAACACTTGTCTGAACAGGTATCTGTCCATGTCTTCAGTGTTTTCTCCTAAGATGGTGATGCTCAATTTGCAGGCTGCATTTGCTTCTTTCTGTACTTTGTTCCACCTATATCCAGCAGCTGCCTCTCTCGCACATACACCAACTGCAGGAGATATTTGAAGATGAACAGATGCATGCACAAAGGACACTCATCAAAAAGTGGTAGGAACATCATGCCTGTTGCAAGGAGAGAACTGGCAGCAGCCTACCACTGTGACAGGGAAAGAAAAAAAAGATCAAACTGCAAATATAGGGCAGGGATTGTAAAAGCACCTGCTTTTTTCTTTTTCAAAAGGCAGAGATAAAGCTGTTCAACATGTTGAGTCATTTAAAGATTGAAATCTAAAGAGATAAATTTGGCATTTTATTCAGCTTGAGAATCTGAGCCCTTAAGAAACCACCAAATTGCCTTTCTTACCCTAGCACTAAAAACTTAGGTGTGAAATTCTTGATACACCTTTTTTTAGAAACTGAAGTCTGGGTTTTACTCAATATAGGCCACCCAATTATACATTTTCAGAGTTTTTCTTTACAGCTTCAGAAATGGGAACATTTAAAAAAAAAACATCAAAGCAAAGTATTTCAGATTCTGCTTGAGATCACCTACCAACATTTCTCCACAGCAGCACCTATGGAGTGTTCTAAGCCACCCAACAATACAACAGGGCTTTGTGATCACACAATGACATACTACATTTTCCATGTGATTATTAGAAGACAAGTTTTTCACTAAAGCCATGAAATCCTGAAATACATTTGGAACAAAAGCTTATACCATCAAGATTCTGTCTCACCTATCTGAGTCTAGCCTGCTTGAGTCCCAAACAACTGACAGATCAATTGTTAACTGCCAGCTTTTTTTAATGGTATCTAAATATTCCATGTACAGAAAATGTTTGCAGCAAGTGTGGCATTGATTTTTATGGCATTATGGTGCTCTCCGATAAGAGTGGCAAGAAGGAAGGTCTCCATAATGCTTAACACTGCAGCAGTCAACACTACACACATTCCCCTTCCTTTATGATCTCCTACAACCTGCCTTACAATTCTTTCTCCAGAGCATCTGCCCTCTTCCAACTAAACTGTATGCCCCAACTTCTCTTACTGACATTTCCGAACAGAGACAAGGACAAAGGACTCAGGAACAAGACAGAAAACAAACACACAAGCGGTCAGAGACAAATACTGGGCTACTAACTACACAGAATTTTATTTGCTTGGCCAATTGCCATTATCAAATGCAAAGTCAGAAAGACCCAGTTAATCAGCTTGCATTATTATTGTACAATATTATAAGCATGCACTGAGGCATTATATTGAAGCAGTAGCTGCATTTGTAGTATAGTATACATACTTAGTGAAAATTTTACGCTGCAATTGCAAAAGCATGAAGTTGTACTCCTATACACTTCTGCTTCTCGAAGAGACAGACAGAGCTTGTGCCACTTTGCATGGTATATTTGGAGACCGCAAATGAATGAATCTCCCAGATGTGCAGCAAGTGCAGCACAGAGGCCAAATTTCTCTTCCTCGGTTGAGCAGCCATCTCATCCCAGTCCAGTAATACAGTTTTTCCATAAAATCTTGAATTAGATTTCCCAGTGCAAATTGTGTTCTTTTCATTGGCTCATTTTCACTGGAATAATTTCAGAATGCATCAGTAAATTTTCGGGTGACTTATAGCAGGGGTAGAAAACTTGTAGGCTGAAATATCTGAAGGGCCACAAATTCCATCAGCCCCAAGCAACATAGCTAATAGTTAGGGATGGCAGGAATTGTAGGCCAAAACAAGTTGCCCACCTTTGCCCTAGAGTAATCTAATGTAGCATGTTTTCTTGTATTTAGCAAACAGAATTTTGAAAGTAGCCCTTTTTTGTCCCAATACACCACAAGTATTTGACCTAAAATGTTTCAGCAAGAAAATTAAAGGATAAATTAAATTAAATTCAAAACACTTAGAATGCAATCCAATGAAACTGCCTGTAATCCTCCAAACTTGATGTGAACTACCAGAGAGCTTTAGCTCTAGATGGTTTGGGAAAGAGAAATCTTATGCACAGTGGAGAGAGTACAGAGGCAAAGGCCACCTTCATGCTCTTACCACCACACAAAACACTCAGCTAATTTTGAATAAGTGTGGCACCTTGCAGAGCAAGGACCCTGGCTGAGGCTCTACCAGGATACTGCATGCACTGGCAGAACTTGTCCCCTTCCCTCCCCACTCCCAAAAGCCCAATCGTGAGGATGCTCTTGCAGTCCCAGAGCCACAGTCAGCATGTGCTTTCCATGCTGGCTGCAAGGGCAGAGGAGAGCTTTCCAAGTTCAGAGTCCAAGGACAGAGCTAGACTCTGAATTACCATGCGGTCATCTAGACCAGCAGTTTCCAACCACAGGTCTGTAGACTGGCGTCAGTTCATGGGAGATTTCCTGCTGGTCCTGGGGGGCGAGGCGCATTTCACTAGCCACAGGCCAGTGCGAGGACTGGCTGTGTTCCACCACCTCTTTCTCAGTTGGCATCACGTTCACAGAGGGTGCACCGCTGCTGCCAGGAAAGCCAAGGAGGAGAGAGACGGCTCAGTGGGAGCTGACTGGGAGCCATAGTGTGCTGGTTTTGGTATTTTGCCCATTTGTTGACTTTTTTTTGTTTTTGTTTTTGGCTCAGTTTCTGGTTGTTTTGGAGAATTTTCATTTTTATGGTATTGTATTTGGAAACTAATACACAGAATACAGTATGGTGCCTTTTTTCTGCTTCAGTGGTCCCTGAGGTAGTTTTCCTGTTTTGCTGGCCCCCACCTGTGGAAAGGTTGAAAACCACTGATCTAGACAATCTAATGATCATATGATTGTGCTGCTCATGTGCTTTTAATGTTTTAGTACACATTTTTTAAAAGTGGAATAGTTGTAAACCTAAATACAATAACATCCACTTCCCTTATATTTTACTTATTTCTATACCACCCAATAACCAAAGTTATAACTGATCAGTTTATAAAGGTTCCTCAAACAGGACCATAATACAATAGAACCACCATTTAAAATTTTATTTCTGTTACGGGAAGGCCATACCAAACTTAGATATATTTTGAATACAGGCCCACCATACTGAAATATTGCCAATTCCTATATTAATCTATCCCATAGTACAAAGTTTGCTAGGTGAAAATAACTAGATATTTTACTATCACAAGTGACAAGACTGATGACTAGTTTGTCTCAACAATATTGTGATGTCACAAAATTATAACCCTATTCATGATGCAAGCCTATGCATTTTTATTCTGAAGGAAGTTCCTTGTAGCTCTGTGGAAGGTACCTGTGTATGACTATTGTCCAGCCTTATTGTTTACATTTAAGGAAAAAAGCAAAGGTACTGAAACCTTTGACACTAATTCTAGCAGTTCAAAGAAATGTATATGTGATTTGGATAATCACTGAAGTGTTTTAACAGAGTTCACCTCTTCTGCTAAAGTTGCTGAAGCACCTTCAGTTTCACTGTCCCTACTTACTAGCTCCATTTCACTCTGACGTATACATATATTTCAGTGACCTAGGTATATTCTCTTACAAACCTGCTAAGGATAATCACCTTTTCAGCATCAAATATAGACTTTGAAACTGCTAACCTTGCCTAATCCTGTATTTTCAAATGGCATACATTCACTTTTTATTAAGGAGTTTATAAAATGGAAAATTTTCCTTGAGGGGAACAGTACTGGCAATTTTCCCAGAAAAACTTCCACCCCATATTTGATAACATTTACAAGGCTATTGTCATCATAGGCAGAGAGAAACAACATCAGACTGCACAATATCCAGGCAGGTGAGGAAGGATTACTTTGACATAGGAAATACCTTTTTAGCATGCCCTCAACCGGAAGGAAGGAAGGAAGGAAGGAAGGAAGGAAGGAAGGAAGGAAGGGGAGGGGGAGGGAAAGGACCACACATTCCCATGTGAATGGTGAAGTGGGGAGAAAGGGAAGTTTGCTCACCCCATGCTTTCTGCCCTCTCAAAAAAAGATAGCATAAATCACAAACAGTCAGGAGTCAGAACTATCACCATCAACTGCATTTCTGATGAGCAGGGACCTTCATATTCATTTTTATTCCACTCTTCATCTAGGAGTTCTGAGGAACATACAGTTCTCTCCACCCAAATGCTCCCAACAACCCTATGAGATAACTCCTAAAGGTTGGGAGCTGATGGCTGGCCTAAGCCTAAATGTATGCAGTACATTTTTGAATGAACAAAACTTTGAAGCTAGATTTCTTTGATCAGCATATAACACAGCCATTATTCCATGCTGCTCTGGCAAGTTACTCTGTAAGAGATATGTGCAGGACTGAAGTCTACTGGCTTCTAGGAACCATTACTCCTTGCAGTTAACATAGTGTTGATATATTTAATATGTCTTTTAAAGTGTATGATCAACTTTAAACTTTTTTGACCATCAGTCCACATGTCAAACGTAAGTCTCAACATAACCAGCTAAGGTTACCAGATGTGCAGATCAAAGCAATCACTGTCAGGGAACAGCTATCTATACATGGCAATATATCCTTGGAAGGGCACATTGGAAGTGGCATGCTTTTCAAGAATACTTATAGCAGAAGAAACACCTCAACAATTTAGAAAACGGAGCATTGAGTTTGAAAATATTTGCCAAATGTAGATGCTGCATATAACAAACAATCTGAGGTATTATACTCATTATCTATTTCTACCCTATTAGATTCCATTAATCAAGTTATTTAGACTGCTTATTTGAATATGTCTTTGGGAATAAGCATCATTAGCTAATACCTTATGACACATAGATTCTCTAATCAGCTTCAGTTCAGACTCTGATCAGTTAATTGAACAGCCAGTATTGATCAACTGCATAAGAGCTGGAACAGATGAAGAGGAAAAGATCAGCAGCATAAACAATCATTTTTAATTTTGAACAATCATGCCCAAAAACAGAAACACTGCTGTTCTGTCTAGTAGCACATGCCAACATTTCCAAACATAAATCAGCTATCAAATTAGATACTCTAATCCAAGTAAAAAGGAAGCCAAGAAAAGACTATTGGTCATAATTCAAACCCTTGGAATTGAACATAAAGGCAGACCTATTTCAAAAATTCTGCATGAATGCCAAAATTATTCAGTGGAGTGAAGAGTTTTCCAATGAATTTTGTTAAAGGCTTTTTCAGCATCCAAAGACAGAATGGCAGCCTGATCTCTTCTATCAGTGTTTAAAGCTATCAACTCAACAATCAGGAGATGCAAAAGGCAGTGGGAGTTACCATGTCCCCTTTGTGGAAAAAGCTGGAGATTCTATGAAAAGGTAAAGAGTAATGAAAAATGACAATTCAACACTTAAAATTGAAAGAACTACATTGCCAGCTGGGAGATATTGTCCTCAGACCTTTCAGTGCACCTACCTTTGCCTTTTCCCCTGGATTTTTTGGCACTTTTCAATTGTAAATTTGACAATTAGCCTCTGGCAACTGTGAGAAAATTACTTTATACACAATCTCATCCTATCAATTCCCATGTATGTTACCTACTCCACTTCTTAAGCAGCTGAAATATATAAGGAACGTGACCAGAGAAGATCATTTATTGGAAAACAATAAGAGCACACTTGTGAAAGACTGACAAAAATTATAAACACAGCAGTGCAACATTCAGGAGCCAAAATAGACAGACAGACAGACTTCAACTTAAAGTTCCAAATTTTTAAAAGACAGTGGTAAATGAAAATGGGTAGAGATTAGAGAGGGGAGACAAGACAGGTTCTCTGGCAAAGGACACTCGATACTTACTGGAGAACTGAGGAGAAAAAGAAAGGGAGAAGAGCCCATACTGTACTGAATTGTCCTTGGGTATAATAACACTGCCTAGCTTATTTGCAGGATGCCTTAGCATGTTGTGGAAACATGGCCTGAGTGCTTGATAGCCACCAGCTTAGCTTTAAAAAAATATGGAGGAAAAGTTATACCAATGGCTATTAACCATAAAAAGCTAACTTCTGGCCAGTCACACATTCTCAATCCAACCTACCTCACAGGGTTGTTGTCGTAGGGATAAGATAAAGAGAATAATAATGGAAGTTGCTCTGAGTTCTTTAAAAAAGAAAAAAGAGGGATATAAGTAAAAGAAATAGAGGTAATACAGCTCCAAATACCAGCTGATCAGTGGCAAATCATGAACACTGTTCCTTTAATACCCTGCTTGTGGCTTCAAAGAGATATCTGGCTGACCTTTGTTGGAAACACAATGCTGGTTGTGATGGACCATAGGTTATTCCAGCAAGGCAACCATGATGGTCTCATTAATGGTTCACAAGCTTCTATCTCTGTTTTCCTAGACTGTACAAGGAAGGCTTTATCGCAACTTCTTCCTAGGACTACAAGGAATCTTTGGAGTATATTTCAGACAGAAATGCACGCATTGTTAAATCTGTTCAGCTTGTCTTCCATGGATTGTCAGGCATCTTTCATTCTATCATTTGCTCATTCACCAGAATTGAGGGGGGGGGGGTTTCCCACCAGAATTTTGTTCTACTTACATTAATCTCTATTTGCATTACAGGACTTATACAGTATGCTAACCTGTATTAATCAGTGCCAGTTCCTCCCAAAAGTGGATGGCAGATCTAGAAGTCTCCATGGTGCAGGTAAAGTCAACTGGAGATTCTACGGGTCTGTTTTACCAGACTCCAGACGCATCTGAATCCATTGCTGGTTTCTTCAGCATTCCTAATTATAAAGAATGCACACTCACCTCTATGATGCCTCACCCTGGGAAAGTGAGAGGTCTAATGCTGGAATTATCAGCCCACTGCCACTGTTTTTATTACACTGTACCCTCAAGGATGTGATGGTGCTAATGTTACTACTGTATGAACTGCCAGTTCCAGTTCCTGTGGCTATTTATGTCAACTGAGCTACCCTGAAATTGTAACAATATTTCTGCTATCTTACAAAGTAACAGGTCAAGTTCTTTTGAACCAAGTGAAATAATCAAATTAGCCCACACTGAGATACCTCAGCTTGTTTTCCCTCAGCTTCCAGCCCAACTCCTCTTCCAGCTTCCATCGAGCATAACTACCTCCTTCTCTTCCTACTGCTGCCAAAATCTTCTCAGAACCCCAGGCCCAATCTCAGCCCAGGAATAAACTCAACTACCATAAAGTACAACTAACTGCAGCAATAATTATTACATGGCTTTTAATAAATCAGCTGCCCATTTTGCCACAACCAGAAGTGTAATTTAAGCAACACTCTAGTATGAAATAGACTTACAATGCTTAGGAAGAGCGATTGGGCAGCTCAAAGATGGAGTGAAAAGGACAACTTCACTTACTAAAGTTGCCTTTTTCCAACTGTATGAGTAGTTTCTCATAATCTGTGTGCTCTATAACAGAGATTATAGAAGAAAGGTAAGCTTCTCCCAGATTCACCCCCAGTTTGCCTTGCAGCCTAGCCAGGAAGGCTAGTTCACTCCAGCTTCATGGCAAGGCAGATAGCCATGTGCCCTCCTGTTGAATTGACTAGCCATGCTACTGAACCTTTAAAACAGCATTTTCCAACCTGGCAGCCCCCAGATAGGTTGGACTACTCCCATCATCCCCACTCACTACCATCCTGGGGGCTAGAATTGATAGGAGTTGTAGTCTGATCTATCAGGGGGCTGCAGGGTTGGAAAAGACTGCTTTAAGGTAATACTGTTTCTTCATTGGTGGTTAGGTTCTCATTCGGATAATTTTAAGGACCCCAAACAGTAATGAACATATGAAATTGCGTCAAGATGAATGAACAAGAAATGCAGTCCAGTTGTTCAAGTACCTTGGCTGTTACTGTATCAAGTTTCATTTCCGGTGACACAGTAACTAAGTTCAAGATAACCTGCTATCAAGACAGTAATTCCAGACTACCCCTCATGCATGACATAGAGAATACTTGGAAATGTCAAAACTCCTGTGTTCACTTCAGTCTTTCCCCTCACTTAAATTAATTTTTCATGTGAAATGATCTGATAGAGAGACAAACATTATTAAGCACTCTTGCCTGACCCAACAGTAAGCTAAAGAAAAGCAAACACATTACTTCAACTAATCAGTGATGGGTGGAATTCAGTATTCCCAGTGAACACCCAGTGAAGGTATTTAGTAGCAGGTGCAACCAAAATATTTCACCTGTACTACAATCATAACCAACCTCCACAGAAATAACACAAGCCTCTGCTCTTGTTAGCTAGCATCCAACTACATGCCTAGCAGTTATCATGCTGCCTTGCTTACTGATATACATTTTAAACTCAGACAGGACTTGGCTTCAACCCATTCAGGCCAATGATGATCGAAGCATTAGTGACTGCCTGTTGGGCAGATATGGAGAAGTAAGCAATTTGAACAATTTTCCTTTATGTCTTCTCTGCTCCACTGGATTACTGAAATGGAATCATGTACATTCTCTTCTACTCCTGACCATTCAGTTCATTATTCAGTAGACGATTCTAGCACCTCCCCTTTTCCAGTTCAAAACTAAGCAATTTAACATAACGACTAAAACTAAGCACCCACTACACTGCAAAAGCTCCAATTCCACTCTGGGTAACTTACTGAACATTTTTGGGCTTGCTGTAGTTGGAATAAAATATGAAAACATCCACATTTGTTTAGGAAGCATATTTCTCATTAACCTGAGTAGGGATTTCACAAATCTGGAACACTTTAGCAAGGATCAAGGTGAGTACTGGAGGAAAAGGAGATCAGAGGCTGTATCAGAGGCTTCCCTGGAGGAAAGGGGCAGGTTCTTCAGAATCAACACTTGCACCAGAGAGTTTAAATAGATATTGCAACAGATAACATGAGCAGGTATCTAACAGCACTTTACAACAATACCCCCCTGCTTTACTTAGACTTATGATCTACTGTGCAAAGGAAATAATTAGCAAGGGCTCTTGTTCTACTATGTGTTGTGATGGTGCCTTAGTATAACACCCACAATAGCACAAGTGCCTTTGTCAGATAAGGTTAAAGAAAGAAGCCTGACTAATACAGGTTAGTAGCAATACTAAGCATTATCCTTCCCCCAGCACAAAACTGACTGAAAATCTTGAGTATGAACTCAAGTATATTAACAGCAAGGTTCATTCATAGTGAAAAGGAAGCAAATGGTATACAAATCCTACACAGTAGAATAAGTGCTAGTTGCAAAAACCTTTCATAGGAACTATGCAACTGAACTCCCATCTCTTTATCAACTGTATCCAAGGCTGCAATCCTACACATCAGAAGAAAGGGGTGCATAACCTCAGACCAGGGACCAAATCAAGCTCTCTTGGGGACCCCCAAATGGCCATGACCCTTTCCTTGGTCATCCCCTTTCTCTTGACCACCAACAACTTGGGTGGCTTCCCAGCATTTGCATTTTTCCTTCTCCATTCTAGAAGGCTGAAATGCCTTTCCTCAAGTGCAGTTACCAGCAGTAAGGGCTTAAAGCTAAGGTCTACTATTATACACTATTTTGCCCCTTTCTTGGACTTTCTCCCCACCCACTCCTGGAATGTGCCTTCTCTCGCAAGAGTTTCTACAACATTGAACTAGGCCTTTCGGCTGAAAGAGGTTCAACACTCCAGGGCAGACAGGCTCATTAGTTCTTACTTCTTCATAAGCACAGACAGAATTGCAATATCTGACTGACTTTGCAAGGGCTTTATAAGGGTTACTGGAAAAGTAAAATACTTCAGAATCACACTGTAGATACTAGTTCTAGTACCACCATTGTAGTATTGCAACTAACATAGAAAGGGAGGATATAAATCAACATAGAAAAATTCACCCCAAATAGGCCAGAAACCTCATAACCACCCTAAATAAAGCCACTTGACCTAATCATTGCAAATACCAAAGTGCCTCCAGTATGCCCAGAATACTTTACAACTCAGGTCCCCTACTTTCAGGAATGCAGGCCGCTTTGCATGAAATCCAAACCTGCTCCTGAAGGTGCAGATTTTGCAGACCTGCACCTTTTGCAAAGTTCAGCAGTATATAACCAATGTCTATGCAAATCTCTGGATTACTGCACTCAGTTGGTACAGGGAAGGACACAATTCTCATACAGGCAGCATTCAAAAGATGCTCACTTTCTTTTGCAAGAAGGTTCAAATATTTTGAGCAGGGATGTGTGAAACAAGTTAACTGCAATTACATGCCAAGAATTAATCACGTGAGTCAAATGTTGTTGTTAGTTGCGAAGTCGTGTCCGACCCATCGCGACCCCATGGACAATGCTCTTCCAGGCCTTCCTGTCCTCCACCGTCCCCCGGAGTCCACCCAAGCTCACACCAACTGCTTCAGTGACTCCATCCAGCCACCTCATCCTCTGCCGTTCCCTTCTTCTTTTGCCATCTATTGTTCCCAGCATTAGACTCTTCTCCAGGGAGTCCTTCCTTCTCATAAGGTGGCCAAAGTATTTGCCTAAATCTACTAAATTATTCTGTTTATTAGGAAAGAAATGAGAAACCCAGAGACAAGAACAACTATGAGTCAAAGGGAGAATCCTAAAACCTGCTCACAGATCCTGCCCAGCCTTCAAGAGACTCTAGTATTAGGGCTAGAATTCATTCCTTTTCTCTTGCATACTACACTGTACAGATAGTCCATAACATAAAAACTTACTTATTAGCTAAGAATATGGTTTCCATGAGTAACAATCAGAAAATTAAGAGTCCAATCCCTTCACAAGGTAATGAATCTCACCTGGAGGTGTCAACGCTCCAGAGATGTAGGAAGACCAACCTAAAGATCTCTCCTGGGGGAGGGGGGTCTCTTGGCACCCCCCTCCCCCTTCAAAGACTCTACTTTGAAGAATCAGTGCAGGTAGATAAATCAGGTCTTGTTTCTTCAGCTGTCTAAACCAATTTCTTTATGCCGCTAAAAGCAAGGGCAGCTTGATTTTCTCATCCCAGAATAATTCTCAAGTCTGTAAGGTTCTTGCAGAATCTTCCATCTCACAAAGATGTCCAGCCTTCACTACTCTTCAAGAACACCCATGGGTCACAATGCTCCATTGTTATCAGTATCCTTCGGCTCTTCTCAGATGATGTCCGTAAACCCAGTTTTACATTTTTCAGTGCAGTTTTTTTCCAAGTACAATCTTAAGAAAATCTAAGTTCTCTGCTGGATCTAAACCATCTTGAGAAGATCTTCTGGAAGGGGACACTACATTGCACTTCAAGTCGTTCCAGCTTCAGTCATCGTGCCTCTGCATGGTATACAAATCTGGATTAGAAACCACATTTCCACATGGCATTGACTATCTGTTATTATCTGGAGTATAACTGGACTTTTGCATGAAAGAATTGGTCAAGGAAAAGTACAAACTGAGCTCTAAAGGAGGGCAACTACCAAATCCCAACCCAGCTCAATCCCATCTTTAAGGAAAAAAATAAAATGCTCATATGCTCCACAAATATAGAAACCCAAATATTTTATTATTACCCCCCCCCCTTTCTTCATCTTGCAAGAAATCAAAGGTTTTCCTCCTTTCCATTTCATCTCACAGCAACAACTCTGTGAGGTAAGTTAGGCTGTGAGTAAGCGACTGGCCTATACAGGTTCACCCAGTGAGAATCCAGGCCTTTCACGTTGCCAGTCTTGCACACTAACCACTCAACAAGTGGCAAGAAGATGGGCTGTTTGGCATTGACCCCCCCCCGCCTTTCCATACACACGGGTAGACATACAGAACATATATACAAGGCTGGAGAAATCCTCTGCTTAAGATTCTGGAAACCTGCTCCCATTTAAAGGCAAAAAAACACTGGTCGTCCGATCCAGTATGAGGCCGCCTCCTGTGTTTACCTTTATATTACTTATGGCGTGCTGTTTACATACAAACACTCATGGGTGTACGGAGCGGATCTCTTCAGAAGGCCTTTCCTTACTCCTCCTCCGCTTCCTTGCTGAAGCGACTGTAGGGGCCCCCTTCCTTACTCTCGCTTCTCTCTTGCTAACCATGCGATTTAGGAAACGCAATAATAAATTCTATGGAGCGGACCACAGGCATTCCTCCCGACCCTCGCCGCCTCCCCAGGTTTTCCGCCTTCCTCGGGCGCTCCCCGCTGGCGGCGGCCCCGCTCCCCGCCCGCCTGCAAGCGGAGGGGAAGGACCGCCCCTCCCCCGCTCGCCTTCTCCCCGTCCGCTCGCGCGCTTCCCCCTCGCGCGCACTGAACTGACCGAGGGCAACGACTCCCAGCGCCAAACAGCACCAGAATTCCAGCCACTTCCGCCTGTCAGCGCCGGAAGCGAACCCATAGCAACCAGCTGTCCCGCCCCCTTCGCTTCCCATTAAGACCACGCCCCCTGTCTTGGCATAGGTCAAAAGTCAAGCGCGGCTTCCAGAGTTTCCATGGAAGCCACCCTTCTCGTCGGTGACCATTTCCTCCCACTGTCAAAGAGGAAGCGCACCTGGAGAGGGAGGGGGGAAATTAACGTTCGGTCACGGAATGGCCACGCCCCCTTTTCACGCCTGACGCGACAGAAGCGTTGCCTTCTCCTCCCTGGGAAGGGCGGGGTGTCAGGATCGAGGGTGCTATTCGCCTCTCTATGAGCGCCTACGTAGCGGCGTAAGAGCGGGAGAAGATCAGGAACACAGTTGCTCCTCCCTCCTCTCCTGCTCCAATCACGACTCCGCGGTTCCCAGCAGCCACGCCCACGCCGGAAAGCCCCGCCCCCCGCTCTCTAATTTTTGATCATTTGAATCCTCTTTCTTATGCCCTGTAAGGGCTTGGAACGGCCCTCTGCAGTTGGGATCTTCATTAAGCATGTTAGGCGCAAGCCACTTAACGGAGAGTATCTGTTATTCTCCTTCGCTAAGAATCGGTGCTTATTTCCCTCGCCTTAAGAGAACGCAGTCGCCAGGCTTCTCGTTAACTCCCTTTACAATTTGTGGAATTTGTAAAAAGTGGAAAGAGAATTAGGACAGAATCCTATGAATGTTTCGACGGGAAGTCCTACTATTCCTAGCATTCCCAGCGTGCTGGGAGTTATAGGCTTTTTCCCCCTGTGGAAACATGAATAGGATTGCGCCTTTACAATACAATCCTTCCTGTATTCAGTTTCCCTGGTGTAATCCTCAGTGGGACCTTCTTCTCATGAAAGATGTATAAATTTGTGATGTAAATTTATCTCACATTAGCAAGTAAGGAGAAAAGTTTTCTAAACTGCTTTTGCTTCAGACCCCCACATTATCAATGTTTTCTGGAAGTGGAAGAGTTAAGTCATACAGATCTTATGCTTGATTATTCAAAAGTAATTCTAGTTGCAAATGAGGCTCCTCTCAGGGAAGTGTGCATAGAATTGCAAGCTTAATTCAACAATAAAGTACTCCTCCCGTCCTGTGTTAGAAAGCTAGAACAGTCTAAAGGGATGATAAGGAAAAGGGGAAGAAACCAACTCATTCTTGGGGTCCATCTTGTCCAAACCCTTCTCAGTATAGGACTCAAAGCATTCCTGACAAATGGCTGTTCAGCTGTTCCTTGAAGGCCTCCAGTGTGGGAGAACCTACCACCTCCTTACAGAATCGGTTCCATTGTCATGCTCAGTTCTTCCTGACGTCCAGCTGGAACTTGGCTTGCTGTGACTTGAGCCCGCTATTCTAGGGCCTGTACTCTGGGCTGATTGAGAAGAGATCCTATACTTCCTCCTTGTAACAACTCTTCAAGTACTGGCACAGCGCTATCATATCTCTCCTCAGTCTTCTCATCCCAAACATAGCATTAGCCTTTTTTTTTGCAGCCACACCAAGTTGTTGACTCATATTTGCTTGAGAGCTACAACAATTCGAAGATCCTTCTTGCTTGCAGTACTGTTGAGCTAAGTATTTCATCTTAAAACGATGAATTTGGTTTCTTGTTCCCAAGTGCAGAATTCGCCATTCCTCCCTGTTAAATATCATTCTGTTATTTTCAGTCCAGTGCTCCAACCTATCAAGATCACTTCAAATTTTGTTTCTGCCTTTCAGGTATTAGCTATCTGACCCATATTTGTGTCATTTGCAAATCTGATAAGTGTTCCCTGCACTTCCTCATTCGAATCATTACTAAAGACATTGAAGAGCACTTGGCCCAGGGTTACTTTTCCCAAGTTTGAGCAGGTGCAGGGAAGAAAAGCCATGCCGGATCAGATCCATGCAAATGGTGACAAATCAGCTGCCCACAGGTTCCCTCAAGCAGGATGGGTGCAAGACCGCCACCTGCCCAAGCTCCTTAGCAGGGATGCTGCCTCCAATATAGGAGGTAGCACATAGCCAGCAAGGCTAGCAGCCACTGATAGTCTTCTCCCTCATCTGTCCAGTCCCTGTTTAAAAACCATCCAAACTGGCAGCAATCCCCACTTCCTGTGGCAGTGAATTTCATAGTTTAAATATGCACTATGAAAAGAACTACTTCCTTTTATCTGTCATAAGCCTCCCACCAATCAGCTTCAAGGGATGATCCTGGGTTTGACTGTTATGGGAAAGGAAGAAAAATCCGCTTTCTCTGCACCATGCATTATTTTAAACACCTCTGATCAACCCGATTCATCTTTTTTCCAAACTAAACACTTTCTGAATCCAATTCTGTAGCCAACTGTGGATCCATTAACCTCACAAACCTATTGGATTCTTGGTATACAACATCCCTGCCATTTATCTGCTTAATACCTAGAGGAGCCGCTGCAAGAAAATGTGAATTATTTATTTATTTCATTTTTCTATTTTCCAGCAACTGAAGCTCTCTGAGTGATTCACAAAAATCAATAAAAAGCACAAAATATAATTCAATAGCAATGACATAAGTTATTAAAATTAACATAATTTTAAATAAGTTGAGTAGCTAAAACAATTTTCAGTTCAACTAAAGCAACAAAGAAGTCACTCTCACTCTGCCATATGCAATGAAGTGCCATTGATACCATAGAAAAGAGAGCAAAAAGAGATGGCGGCACCAGGGGGACTTCAGTAGGGAAAACATTCCATAATCGGGGCCACCATTGAGAAGTCCCTCCCCTTGTAGCCATGCTCCAGGTCTCCCTCAGAGGTGTCAGAGGCTGATCATAGTGTCTGGATGGATTCAGGTCTGGAGAGGTGTTCCATCATGTAATACCAAGCTGTATGAAATTACAGCTGTTCAGCTGTGAATGAACTAAGGGTGTTTCTGGTGAATATAAGCACCATCTCTTCAAATGAGCTTTAAAAGAAAAATAAATTATGTATCCTCCCTTCCTCTCTTAATCCTTGTGTGTCATGTCTTAAATTTAGATTGTAAACCTGAGGGCAGGGATTGTCCTTGTAAGCTGCTCTTGGAGCCTTTTTGCCTCTAGGGCAAGGTTGCAGAGAGTGTAAATAAATAAAAACAAGACTCGAACAATTGGCATCCCAAACCACATTCAGTTGCAGCACTTGTGCTACAATAAACAATTTGAGCAGCTCATGCTCAAAGCAGATCTTTTATGAAGGTTAAAAAAAACCTTCCTTTTTAAACTTTCCCCTTCTGGCTCACTCCAGAGTGGTGTTGTTGATTTTGTTTAGAGTCTAAACAAACTTTAGACACTTCCCCACTTCCAATTTTAAAAGATATTTTTGTGATTCATTTGATATGCTTGTAGTTTTGCTTTTTATGCTGTGGTATAAATGACTTGTGCTGGAAAGATGCAAATAAATGTATAAAATTATATAAATATAATTAAGCTCCAAACTATTTGGAGCAAGTTAATGGTAATGCTGTAATGGATGGATTCTATCTTAATGCTATTTTATGGAGATTATGTTGTGCCATCCCAGGGACCACTTCAGGTGTCTGTTGGGTTGGCAGACTTTTGTTTTGCATCAACAGCCTCTATTTGGATTGTATGTGGGGTGGGGGAGGGGGCTGGAAAAGAAGGAGGGACACCCCAGGAATGGACCCCATAGTTCTTAGAGCAGGCAGCAACCCTTCAGCTTGCCACAGTTCCCTTCCAGTGGGAACCACAGAGTGCACTCCTAGAGTGGTTCTCCCTGCTTCCCCATGCCTTGGTTTGACAGCAAAAGAAGCTGGCGTCCATGTCATCAGACCAAGCTTTGGGTACTGCCAGTGCCTGTGAGCCAGAGGCACTATTTTATGCACCCCCAAAGCAAACTCAATCTCCAAATGTGGCTCTTTATCTAAACACTTGGTGTGGTGGGGACTGGGTTGAAATCAATTAGCTCAGTATCTGAGAAACTGTTGGAAGGAGGGAAATGATAACTCCAGGAAGGGGTGGGGAGGAGAAATGGAACAGGGGTATTTGGAAAGGCCACTCAAACTTGAATGAAAGTTGTCAGTGCCAAGGCACCAAACACTGAGAAGTTTATTGCTCTCCAGAATCCTGGTGATTCCATACCTCCTGCCATTCACCATTTACCAAACATTTACCATTTACTTTGTCGGAATATAGCCTGCAGTGAAACAGAAAAACAAAAATACCAAATATGCATTAAAGCAGTTGAACAAGTAAACTTTAGGCGTGTCGACTATTTTTTATAACGTTCCTAACGGCCACAAGTGTGTATCGCTGATAAGAATTCATTGTAAATTACAGGAGTTCAACTTCTTATAATCTGTGTCTGACTTTAAGTACAGAGGGATCACCTATATAGGCTTCATGCATGCTTAAAGTGCAAAAACGTGTTTTTGGAATGGGAAGAAGCTTGCCACAGAAGCTTAGTTCATTCTTGGAATTAAAAAGCTCATTATTCCAGAAGAGATGGCCTTTGCATAAGTGCTTCTTATTGTAAGCTGTAAGCCCAACTGCGCTAGGGAGAGGCCTTGCTGAGGTCATGAGCAGGAGCTATGACAGAGTCCGAAGCCGTTCAGCTGCACAGCTGTAAGTTCAAGATAAGGAACGAGAGCTCTTGTTGGACAGAAAGTTGTCCGAGTTATTCTTTGACATGACCGAGCAGAGAGATCCTGGAAAGGCAGGAAGGCTCTCACCTGAGCTCTGCCTTCCCTGTATGGCAGACAGGTAATTATGAGAGCTGAACTCCGACTGCTTTGTGGGCTGAGAGAGGCAGAATGTTCATTTGACTAATAAATACACTAGTCACTATTGCTATGCTTTTAACTGCACATGTTGCTACTATTATTGTAAACTTTTGTGATTCTCCAGTACTGTTCAAGCAATTAATAGAGAATGTGAGGCATCACTTTGTGGTTATCTGGCTTAAGGGGTGCTTCAGGAACCATTGCCCAGAAATTAATTCTTGAAATCCCAGACTCTCAGCTGGAACTGACACACCTCTTGCTGAGTGGGGTCTTTCTGTACAGCCCCTTTTTTCAGTCTTGTTCAGGTGAGTTACAGACACCTCTCTTCAGGGAAGAGAAATGATTTCCTGGATGTCCTGGGAATAGTTTACCTGCACCATTACAATAAGCAAGGTTATAGTGCATCATTAATTCTATTGCTCTGCTACATAAAAACAGATTCCATTCCTCAATACAGCATTTGTCTCGTTATCTGCCAATGCAGAAGTGGGCTAGCTGGGGCACGAGGAGTGTTCAAGCAGCAAAGGATGAAAAAGGAGGGGAGGGTTTTGCTTCCGTTCACTGCATGCTTCATTTGCTGATAAAAGTAAGTCTTCCCACCCATTCTCCTGCTTTACAGTGGAAGCCACGCATGGGCATTTATCACACATCCCCCTGTCTGGTTTGGCCCCTCGTGCCAGATGCTAGGGGAGGCTGCTGTCTCCAGTGCCAGTGGGGCTGCTTATATCTTCCAACATTTAGTATGAGCCTGGAAGGAGCTCTCTGTGGTACTGAACCCATCCGGGGTGGGGTTCAGGAGCACAAATCGCTTCTTGAAAGTTCAGAGTAAAATCTAGAGCAGGTAAGGTGCCCTGCTCACATTGGTGCTCCCAGCCCCCACTGGCAGAAGGGGGACGGGGTGAAGTTGCTATCTTCCCGCCCTACTTGGAGCTTCCTCAGGACACCTGTCTGCTCTGAGGACTAGATGCAAAATTAAGTAGATTGTTCCTGTAATCCAGCAAAATTCCAGTGAGAGTAGACAAAAGTCCTGGTGCCATTTGCCATCTTTAAAAATGAAACGCTTCTACAGCTTGTACTCAGATGAGTGGGATTGGCCCTTAGGCAGAGTGAGGTGGAGGTTGGGTGACATAAAACAGCAATGAAGTGTCATTTACTCATTTTATATTAATACTAATACCAATAATAATAAGATGCAGTTGAACAGCCAACTGAGAGGGATGGCTTAAACTTGAGAGTCCTGCACTGAACAGGAGGTTGGACCTGATGACCCTCTGACCCCTTCCAACTCTACTGTTCTGTGACTATAATAGTTTGCATTTTTCACCTGAAGAAAGGCATTTGTTGGATTTTCTGCTCAATTGTCGACTTGGCCAGCCTAGCACCTTGACTGGAGGGGAAAGTGCCATTTGCTACTTTCCCTCAGGTAGCGAAGTGTCTCGGGTCACCCCCAGGCACCTGGAGGGGGAGCTGCAAAGTGGGGGAGTGTGACTGTGCATGAGAGAAAACAGCGTGTGCCTGGCTGTTGGTCACACCGCACATCACGCCCACTGTATAGTGTGCAGTTAAGCTATTTTTTGTTTTGTTGTTTTAACTCAAGCACAAGTACACAGAGCCCTAATTCAGATTACGAACAGTGTGCACCGGAAGAGGTGAATTAAGCTCCCCCCCCATGCCTCTCCATGCAGAAATAAGGTGGTGGGGGGAGGACATCTCCATTAAGCTTAGCTGAAAACTGCGTTGTAATGTACTGTGCACTTTGTCCCATGCTGAGTGGTGTTTGTGTGAGAGCGTGGAGTACTTACAACCACTTTGGGTTCCTGCTGGTATGCTCCCCCTGGGGGTGGGGTTTCCTGGATGGCCTCCAACCTTCTGGCCCCAAAAGTTTTCCCACCCTTGATTGTGTTTATGATGCGTAGAGGGCATAACAGAAAAGTCAAACAATTCCCTCCACTCACATGTACAAGATGGAGCTACACCCAGCTGCAAGTGCTGCCAATGCAAACGCAAAGCATCTGAGGCAAAGCATTCAGCAAACAGGACAGCTTATTATGTTTCAAGTGTTTAACTTACAGGGTGGTTCAGGAGGTTGTGATGGCCTATGATGCCAGCATCATAACACTAACTATTGTTCTTTATATTTAATAACTGTGTGTATTTTGCATTTCTGGCATGTTTTGAAAAACTATTTGACAAACTTCCTTCTGATGATGGAATTAGAGTAGCTCTTGAGTTCCAGGGCTTTTTGGCTTCAAGAAAAGACAACAAAGGTGAGGTGGATGGGGCAGAGATGGGTTTGCAATCTGATTAACAGTTGGCTTTTTAAAAATGAGCAGGTAAATTTGCAAAGGATAGGCCTATCCTGTGATTAATCAATATAGCTAAATGGAACTTCCAAGTGCAGAGGCAGTATACCTGTGGATGTGAGGGACAAAGCATCACTTTCATCATGCCCTCTTTATGGGTGTCCAGAGCCACGGAGGACCTGGCTGGATTTTAGATGAACCTGGACTGGATCCAGCCAGGGAACTCCTATGCTTTTTCTGAGCAGCAGTTGGGTGATTGTGGGAGAGAGAAAGAGAGCTCTCCTGTAGCTTTAGTTAACAGTGGTGGGGACTGTTTGGACTGCATTGTACTCATGAGCCCCCCATCCGCCCCCCGCACGGCCAGTGGTGAGGAATGGTGGAAGCAGCCATCCATCAAGGGCAAGAGGCTTATACCTGCTGGGTAAATTACACCCCATGATTCTTCTCCTGAGAGGACTTATGCCAATTTAGTTGTTTCAAGAGGGAAGCAAAGACACAACATAGGCTCAAAACTAGTTTTTATTAGCAGGCTTCAGCTGAATGGTGGCAAACCACTGCCTTGAAAACAAAGTGGTCTTCACAGCTCTGCGGCACAGTTCAATAAACTTTTGTATCTTGGCTATCAGCGCTGGCTACCACCCTCCTAAAGCAGTTGTGAACCTCTCCACAGCGGTCAGTCGGTCAGGTCTTCTTTATACGGTCAACATATGGTCAGGTCTTCTTTATATGGTCAACATATGGTCAAGTCTTCTTTATATGGTCTAGCTCAACCTGCCTGGTCATTTTGCACATTGCTTTTGCTCACGGCACTAGCTTGCTTTGTACTAATGATTGCTGGGCTGCATTTTATCTAACATACCTACTTTAGTACCTGAGGGAAAGAAGAATTTCGGCCAGTACACCTTGTCACGCAGAGGTGGGAAATGCTGCAATTGCTTAACCAATGAATGAATATTGTTTGGTATTTGTATACCACCTTTCAGCAATCCCCACACCCCCACTATGGGTGGTGGACAATAAATACAGTATAATTTTAAAGTAAAATACCAAAAGCACCATTAAAAACAATTACAATGGCAAATAATTCAAAAAGCTCCAATGTAAATGTATCTTGACGCTCTTTGTAAAAGTGGGAATTCCCTCTTCTGCAGGAGTGGGCAGTGAGTAGATGGCAAGAAGTTTGGGACCTCATCCCCCAGTATTCCTGAGCTTTCTTGGCCAGGCAGGCAGAGCCTTCTTAGTGCTGCAGTCTAAAATATCTGGAGATCAACATACCGCCCACCCCATTGCACAGCATCTTGGCTCCCTTCTTAGCGGTCTCTGTAGGGTGCAGTTCCACTGATTCTGCCCTCAGTGGGCGGAAGCCCCTCACCTCGAAGGCTCTCAGTTATCCAAGGCAGGCCAGGAGGCGGAGCAGAGCAGGCTAGTGACCCTCACCTCCCATCCTGCATATTTGGCCAGATGGGCTTTCTAGTCACAGCACTTCAGAAGGGAGGGGAAGGAGGCTAGGAAAGGTTAAGCATAGCCAGTTTGGTATAATGGCCAGAGTGTTGGAGTGGGACTCATGAGATCTGGGTTCTACGCCCCATTCAGTTGTGAAGCTCACTGGGTGTCTTTGAGCCAGCCGCTCACTCTCACGTCTGACCCTTGGTTAAATTGGAACCGCCTGGCCTGCTGCTAGAACAACCAGCCCAGTCGAACAATTTAGCAGCAATCAGCTGTGAAAAATGCAGGTCCCTGGACATGTTCCTCCCTCTTGGCCACAGGTACTTCCCTTGTTTGCCCACACCCCCTTGAAACAATCTCTGGAAAGGAATTAGGAAGCCTGCCAGGGAAAGCTTCATGGGGCTGGCTCAGCAGCTCATTTGATGACAAGCTGTTTCCAAAACAATTCAGGATGAAACAGGTGCTTCAAAACAAGCAATCAGAGAACTGTGGATTTGGAGGGGATCCTGGAGGTCATCTAATTCAGGAACTTTGCAATTAGAGAAGGCGGAGGGCTTTGAGAGGGCTCTTTCCTCCTACAAGCAGTCTATAACAAACTTTAAGTTAAAAATATGCAAAAGTAAAGAGAATTCAGTGAAGACAGAACCTGCTCATGACTCAAGGCTCCCTTTAGGAACCAAATGATAAATGAACTGCAGCAGATAATGATGTGATTAAATAATGTTGTGCACACACAAACGCATTACCTCAGACATTGAAGGAGTGGTGCTGGGACGCCATGAGGAAGCACAGGAGAGTACAAAGTGTCTTAGAAATATTTGCTTTATTTACAGATGTACAAGAAGAGCAAAAGTGGAGGCAAACAAGCAGACAGCAACTGCTGGAGTCTGCAGCTCCAGTTTCAGGGAATTTTAGATAAAAACAGGTGGGCAACTACAGGAAGTCTGGAAACCAGTTTTGCTCCCTAGACATCCAGTCCCATCATCACGCTCTGCAGCAGAAACAAAAAACCTGGTTTGCCACTAAAAAGTGTATGTGACCCCATTAATGCTCTACTGCAATGGTCAAACATAGCTTGCAAGCAAAGTTAAGTTGACTCTTTTAGTGCAACAGACGGTTAAAAGTGTGATTTCCCTCCAATCCAAAAGAATTCAGGCAGTCTCCTATCTATCTATCTATCTATCTATCTATCTATCTATCTATCATTCCATTTATATGTCACCTACTAACAAGGTCTCAAGGTGGATTACAATAAAAAGTATAAACATATATAACAATAAATAAACAATAACATGGTTCATAAATTTAAAACCTTACAATAATAACAGCAAGCAGTGAAAGGAAGGGCAGGAACAATTGTGTAAAAAGGTATTAAAAAGGACCATTTTTGTTTGGTGCTGAAACAATAATAGAGACAGTGCCAGGCAGGCATCCCTAGGGAGACTATTCCAAAGGGAGGGAGCAGCCACCGAGAAGGCCCTTCATCTATTTGCCACCCCCTCACCTCTTTGAGAGATGGCACTTGCAGAAGGAGCTCCTGGGCTGATCTTGAGGGATGGGCAGGTTCATATTGGAGGAGGCAGTCCTTCAGGTAACTGGGTCCTAAGCTGTTTAGGACTTTATACGTCATAACAAGCACCTTGAACTGGGTCCAGGCAGTCATGAATGTCTCAGTTATAAATAATCCATACTTATGAACTGCCACAAAGCCTGTTAATTTTTTAAAAATTACTGGAGAAAATTGCCATCACTATAGAGAGTGGAAACAAAAGGGGAAAGAGGCAAACAATAGCAAGCTGGCTGTTTCTTGAAGTGTTGTCTGTAGTCATTAAGCAAAGTTAGGTTTGTTTTCTTAAGAACTAGATTCCAATCTAGTATCATTTTTGGCAAGACCAAATATGCAATGATAGACTCACTTATTATCATCAAGACAGCAAACTTCCTGCGATGTTCTTTCAAGGATGTACTTTAAAACCCCTGCTCAACTTTTGTACATAAACCCTGCCTCATGCATTTAGCCTGTCCTTTACTGTGCATTTATTTTTAAGGTTTTTTGGCCTTTTTCTTCTCAAGAACCCGAGGAAGCTTTCATATTCCTCCTCTCCTTTTGATCCTTACAAAACCCTGTGAAGTAAGTAAGGCTGAGAATCAGTGAGTGGCCCAAAGTCACCCCCTCAGCTTCAGGGCCAAGCAGGGCCCAGAACTTGGCTCTCCTCGGCCCAGTCCAGCACTCTCAACCCATTGCCAGACTCCAAGGCTTCATCCTGGAGATCTTCCCCAAGCACCAACCTGAAGGAGTCTGAAAGGGGGCAGCAACACTGGGCGGCACTGCTGGGTACCTGCTGAGGCCGGCTCCCCCGCAGGGGGGCTGCTGCCAATCTTCCTGCCCTCCTCCATGCTGTCTTCCCCCTCCACCTGCCCCCTTTGAGACCATGCCAGTGACAATCTCGGTTTTCAATTTGCAAGTTGGAAATAAAAACTCGGGTTTGTGGGAAGATCAACCTCTGCTGCTTTATTGTCCGGTGCTCCGGTACTTGCAGTCAGTCACAATAATGCATTACCAGGCAGAGGTAAACTCAACTGCACAATCTCAGCCCATGTACAGACACTTTTATAACCTGGTAGTCACTTACTCACATACAGATAATCTTAGTGCAATAGCATCCTGATGTCCTTAGGCAAGACATAATGTTCTAACTGATCAGAAACACTGTTAATAATAGGATGGAAAACATTGCTGATTGCTGTATTGATAGGTCAGTGTCTGATGGAGGAATCCTTCAGGAAGTCTGGTTTGACAAACAGACTCAGCAGGAGCTTGCCTCTGTTTAGGTGGGCCCATTCAGAAACAAATGAATGCCCTTATTTCAGTTTTTCTACAGCTGATAAGAACACAGGTATGCTTCTCAGTCTAGCTAAGGAAGCCATCTTAAGGCAATGGCAACAGTAACCTGGCTTGGAAAGCTGCTGCTTTGTGAGAAAGAGGTGCAGGTTTGATTTTATAACACAAAGGCACATATAAGCAACGTTTTTCTGCCAGGACTTATCTAAGTTTTCCCATCACCAGGAGTCACCAGAGCAAGGTGATAAGAGCAGCTTCTCTGCCTGTCTTTCACGCTCCCTCCGGGTGGTGCTATAAACGGGGTCCAGGGGGAGAAGGCAAGTGAACAGGCAGTGAGGACAGAACCGATGAAGAGGCCAACCCTCTCAGGTAGCAGCCCCTGCTATGGGCATCTTTTGCCCAAGGCCCAGCCACACGGCACGTTTTCTTTGAGGAGTTTGGTGCTTGCTCTGCTTTGACCACCAAATCATCCCCCTGAATGATGCTCCTTCAGCCTCAGGACTGGGTAGCATCTTGCTGTCCCAGTGGAAAGGGCCTGGTTTTTATTTATTTAAAACTTTCGTATGCCATCGCCACGTGCCTTGGCATCTCGGGATGGCTCACAGCATGTGGTTGCTAGGGGCAACTCTTTTGAACGTCCTTGCGACCCGCAGCTGGACAAATGGGCACAGGTGAGCAGAACCCAGTGTGTTTTCAATGGCAAAAGGAGATCACGGAGGCATTGCTTATGCCTGAAGCGCTGAGCTGCACGGGTTTACCACCTGAAGGATCCGCGGTACAGTCTGCTGCGCGTGTCGGCTCAGAAGTAAGTCCCACTGACTTAACTGATGCTCACTCCCAGGTATGTGGATACAGGAGTGCAAATGTATTTATTTTTCCCATTACTTTTGTCCTATTCCTCCACATGCTGTGCATGGCCTGTGTAGGCATTGTGCCCGTCATCCATTTTCTGTCTGTTGGTCAAGTGAGGAACTGACTTAGACCCTCCCTGTTCCAGCCTTCTAGATTGGCCTTCTGCAACCTGATGACCTCCAGATGTCCGGGACTTCAATTCTCAGCTTCCCCAGCCAGCACGGGCACTGGTTAGGAATGCTGGGGGCTGTAGTCCAAAATACCCAGTGGTGCCATCCCGATACAGAGGCCACTGCGGCTGTCTTTACATTCCTTTTCAACATTTTGGGCAAGCGGTCTTATAGAGACTGTCCTTACAAAAGCGGAGCACTGGCAACCACGATCCTCCCTTTCTTACAGAACCCAGCCTCTGTATTGGGATGGGGAATGTGTAGCTCTTGGCCTCCTCTCAAGAGCCCTCTGCAAGGAATCAGTTCAGACACCTGGCAAGAGCGATAGGTTCCTCCCCGAGTAGCTCACTAGCCGGGGAGTGAGAGAAAATCCTGTGAAAGAGAGAGAGGGAGAGAAAGAGATGGGATGATGCCTGGCTCTAGTTCTGTGCACTGGTAACTTTGGCCCCAACCTGCTTCTGGAGGGCCCCATAAACCCGGAGGCCTCTTCCACCTCTTCTTTCTCCCTTATATTATGTTTGTGGCCCTTTTTTTTGGCCCCTCATTTTTCTTTGAGGAAGGACAAGGTTCAGGCTCAAATCTCTCTGATCCTCCTCTGTTCTCACAGGTTTATAACTGAAGGCCTCCATAGCTTGCTTGCAGATGGCTTGGAGTTCTTGTACCTCCTGGAAGCTGAGGTGCTTCCTCCAAGCCTGGGAGACCATGTCGGCATTTTTCTGTATTCCCAAGGGCCCTGTGTTGCCACTGCCGGTGGGCCAGTGTGTTATGTTGTAGACCCAGGCTGTGAGTCTAGAGGAGAAAGTCAGGCCAGTGAATCGGTACCACTCCGCCAGTTGTCCCAGGGGGTTTTTCACCAGGTCTTCATAACGGGTCAGGAGATATCGCCCCCTCAAGGCCGGAGGCGGGTGTTGCAAGGCAGTGAGGTACATCTCAGTCTGGCTGTGGCAGATCTTTCGCATGACCCCTTGAGTGTCAGGGGTGACGTTGGCAGCGTTGCTGATGAGCAGATCATCAGGGAGAAGAGAAACCCTCTTCCGGGAAGCATAAACAGCTCGAGGGTCCCTGACCAAGTGGATTACATGAAGATGCAGGGAGGGATCTGTGAGGAGCGGATACAAGGCTTCCAGCTGGAAGATGCGTACAGTCTTCACTACCACATGGCTGTAGGTGGCACAGGCTTCTGAAATTTTCTGGAAGGGAGTGTGGCCGCACTGGGCTTCGCACTGCTCAAAGCTTACAATATCTGAGCGGCTGAAGGCTTTGCAAGCTGGAGGGGAACACAGGGCCCGGCTCATTGGCCACATGAAGAGGTGATTCACCTTGCTAGGATTTTCAATGTAGGCGCAAAGGGGCCTCATGTCACAGAGAAAAATGGAACGCAGCAAGTCCCTCAAGGACCCCTGGAGAAGTTCAGGATTGCCCCAGGGCATGCGCTTCCACACATGCTTGGCCGGCTCCATCAGGTAGAAAACCTCTGGGTTCTGGCTGAAAAGCTGCCCCACAAAGGTGGACCCAGAGCGCCAGCTGGAGAGGATGAGCACATGGGTCTTGGGTTGAGGCCGAGCACCTTGCGGGGGCTCTAGGCTCCTCTGGAACAAGAGCAAACCGAGCAGGAGCAATGCCAAGACCAGGAGAAGCTGGATGCTGGTGGTGAACTTTCGAATGCGCATTTTGCCAGGCTGAAGAAGGGACAGAGACTGACAAGAGTTAACTGCAGACAATTCTAGAGATAACCAGAGGAGCAGAATACTGTGGGAGAACAGACTCTGTGCCCAACACTTTCCAGCTCTACGGTTGCAACAGATTTTGGATGCCAAGGCCCTACCAAGCATGAGGTCAGGCTTCTCTGTGGTGATTCAGATCATTTACATAGAAACATAGAAACAGAGCGAGTCAGAAGGGGCCTCCCGGGCCATCTGGTCTGAGCTCCGGCACCAGCCAGCTCCACTCACGACAAGCCCACCATGTGGACATCCAGCCTATCCTTGAACACCCGCACCGATGGGGCCTCAACGACCTCTCGTGGAAGCCCATTCCACACCCTCGGGGTCCTGACTGTCTGGAAGTGCTTCCTGGCATCCAAATGGAACCTGGGTTCCCTGAGCTTTGCTCCATTGGAGCGTGTCCTGCCTTCCTCTGCAGGGGAGAACAGGTCTCTACCCACCTCCGTGTGACATCCCCTCACATACCTGTATGTCGCCAACAGATCCCCTCTGAGTCTCCTCTTCTCCAGGCTGAAGAGAACCAGTTCCCTCTGTCTCGCCTCATATGGCATCCCCTGCAAACCGGCCACCAACCTTGTGGCCCTACACTGCACTGACTCCAACCTGGCTATATCCTTTCTGTAAGGAGGGCCCAAAACTGAGCACAATACTCCAGTTGCAGGCGAACCAGAGTCGTGTAGAGTGGTAGTAATACCTCTCTTGATCTAGAAGCCACACTTCTGGCTATGCAACCAAGGGTGGCGTTCGCCCTCTTGACCACCACATCACACTGCTGACTCATGTTTAGCCTGCAGTCAACCAGTACCCCGAGGTCCCTTTCACAAGTGCTGCTCTCCAGCCACTTGTCACCTAACCTGTACTTATGACACCTCTTCCTATGCCCCAAGTGCAAGACCTTGCACTTATCCACATTGAACGCCATCCTGTTGTCTCCTGCCCACTTCCATAGTCTGTCCAGATCCTTTTGGATCTGGAGTACCTGCTCCTCAGTTGTGGCCACTGCTCCAGTTTTAGTGTCGTCTGCAAATTTGATCAGCAGACTGTTCACCCCTTCTTCCATGTCATTTATGAAAAGATTAAACAGGATCGGCCCCAGGACAGAGCCCTGGGGGACCCCACTTGTCACTGGCCGCCATCCCGATGATTCCCCGCTAATGGTTACCTTCTGCTTTCGGTCAGTCAACCATGCCCTAATCCACCGGACAGTGCTTTGGTGTATCCCAAAACTCCTCAGTTTCTCCACCAGGATATCATGGGGCACTTTGTCAAAGGCCTTGCTGAAATCCAGGTATACCACATCCACTGCATCCCCTCCATCTAGCCATAGGAAAACCTTGTCATAGAATTCCACAAGGTTTGTCTGGCAGGACCTGTTTTTGCGGAAGCCGTGTTGTGTGGCTGTCAGCTTCCCTATCACTAGATCTCTCTCTATTATGAGCCTTTCCATTGTTTTTCCTACAATGAACGTAAGGCTAACCGGTCCATAATTCCCCATGTCCTTTCTACTACCCTTTTTGAAAATTGGGACCACTGATGCCACCCTCCAGTCCTCTGGAACTTCACCCGTTCTCCACGAGGTCTCAAAAATGGAGGCCAGCAGGCGTGAGAGAACCCCTGCCAACTAAGTACTCTCGGGTGTAACCTGTCAGGGCCTGGTGCCTTTGTAATGTCCAATGCCCTGAGGAGCCCCTCGACTTCAAGGGGGGTGACTCTAATCTGTGCCCCTAAGTCCCCAGCCTCATCTAATCTCCTATGCGGATATCCCCCATCCTGCTTTGGGGAGAACACAGAGGCAAAATAGTCATTTAGCATCTGTGCCTGTACCCTCTGATCAGTCACTGGATCTCCTTCCTCCTTATTTAGTGGTCCCACCACTTGTCTCCCCTTCCTCTTCCTATTTACATGCTGAAAGAAGCCCTTTTTGTTGCTCTTGATATTCTTGGCAAGTTTCAGCTCGTAATCAGCCTTAGCCTTGCGAAGAATCCTTCTGCAACGGGCCTCCTCCACCCGGTATACCCTTTTGTCTATTTGCCCCAGTACCCATTTCCTATGGAGGTTCCTCTTTCGTCTAATCCCTCTAACCACCTCGTTTCGCATCCATGGCGGCACTCTCCTCCACCTCCCCACCTTACTGACTAGAGGTATCATCAAGGCTTGCACCTCCAAAATCTCCCTTTTGAGTGCTATCCACCCCTCCTCAACTCGCTTACCTTCCAGTAACCTATCCCAGGAGACTTTCCCCAGTCTGGCCTTCAGTTGGCCAAAGTTGGCCCCCTTGAAGTCCCAGCTTCTAGTGCTCGACCTGCTGCACGTCCCCAGTCCCCTGATCTGAAAGCAAAGAATGGAGTGATCACTCACATCCAGAGCTCCCCTAATCTGTACTTCATCTATCAGCTCCTCCCTATTGGTCAAGACCAAGTCAAGGATGTTTCCCCCCCTCGTCGCCTCTCGGACCCTCTGTGTGAAAAACCCTCCCTCTATAGCTTCTAGGAAGTGACGTGACCTGGCTGTCACCGCCAAGTGAGTCTCCCAAGTAATATCCGGGATATTGAAATCTCCCATAATTACTGTGTCTCTCCCCTGAGATATCCTTAGAATCTGGCCTGTCAGGACATTGTCCAGGGTCTCAAGTTGACCTGGAGGGCAATAACATACCCCCACTGTCAGGTCTCTTTCCCTGTCAAAACCCCTAAGTTTCACCCAGACTGCCTTTACCGAATCCCCATCTGTGCTGCATTCTATCTCACTGCATCCTATCCCTTCCCTGACATATAAAGCCACGCCCCCACCTCTCTTTCCCTTCCTGTCCTTTCTAAAAAGGTGATACCCTTCTATGTTCACATTCCAGACTTGCCTTTCATCCCACCAAGTTTCTATGATTCCCACCAGGTCATACCCTCCTATTCCCAGGAGAGCTTCAAGCTCTTCCTGCTTATTACCCATGCTCCTAGCATTGGTGTACATGCACCTCAACTCCTTCCCACTGCTTCCTTCCCTTGGAGTTCCCAGCCTCCTCCTTCCTCCCATCCTCCCTAATACCTGGCTCCTCTCTGAAGGAGTCTTGTCAGTCCCTGCAGTACCTCTAAAACCCTGCTCCCAGAGCCCTGATCCTCCCCCCACACTTGTCCAGTGCAGACACATTACTGGGGGGGCCTGAACCTCCCCCCCCCGACTCAGTTTAAAGTCTTCCGGACGAAGCTCGCTAGAGCATCTCCAAAGGACCTTTTCCCCATCCTCGTGAGGTATAACCCGTCCCTTGCCAGAAGTCCATTGGCAAGAAAACGAGTGCCGTGGTCGAGGAACCCGAAGCGTTCCTTCTGGCACCACACCCTAAGCCAGTCATTCACCTCGGAGGCCCTCCTGTCCCTTCCTGGCCCAAATCCCCGGACAGGTAAGATTGACGAGAAGGCCACTTGGGCCTTCAGCTCCCTGAGTTTCTTCCCCAAGGCCTCAAAGTCCCTGGTGGTCCCAACCACACCCTGCCTGGCCACGTCGTTTGTGCCCACATGGATCACCAGGAGCAGCTGGTGATCCCCGGAGCAAACAAGACGCTCCACTCTGTCCTTCACATGCCGGATGCATGCACCCGGCAGGGAGCAACCTCCCTTGTCTCCAGGTTGGGGCAGCACACCACCGGCTCAGTGCCCCTCAGCAGGGAGTCCCCAACAAAAATCACCTGCCGCTGTACCTTCCCGGTGCTGGTGGGCAGCCGTGCCCTGGCCCTGGCCTCTCCTGCAGCGGCCCCCTTGCCGCCTGACGTCCCAGGCTGGGGGTCCTGCTGGTCCCCCGAGGCCTCATCAGCCCCAGCCTCCCCAAGTGGAGAGAACCTGTTTCCCAGCTCCAGATTGGTACCAGGAGAAGGAAGAGGCTGTGCTGGCCTCCTCCTCCTGTGGGTGAC